CTTAAGGTTCTTCCAACCCAAATCAGCCTGGGATTTTATGAATAAACACAACATAAAGCTGATGGAAATGGTCTTTTCTGCTCAAGACCAAGGAAATAAAACATTGAAAACCCTCCAGGGATGAGCTTCCAAGACAAACAACTGAGAGCCCCTTGGACAAGCAAGATTCCAACCCAGCTGTTATTCACAATCCTGTCTGGAGATCCCAGCTGAGGCAGGACCTTTACTGGGAACCAGTAAGAGTCAAACTGGGTGGGAGCTGGGCTGGACAAGGGAGAAGAATAAAGGATGGAGAGATCAAACAATTTAGGTCCACGAACAGAATCCCATGCATGAGGGATCCCTTTGGAATTACGTGGAGGAACTGGAGGACTTCAGGCTTGAGCATCCAGTGGGAACAAGGCCCAGGTAGAGAGGGAAGAGCTGGGATAGGGGAGGTCAGGATAAGGCCCAGCCCAGGCTCTGCAGCAGCACCACTGGGTCACTCAGGGTCAGATCTGCTGGATCTGGACACCAAGGATCCAGACCTGGGAATCACTTCTAGCCCAGTCAGCAGCCTGGGGCAAATCCCAGGGTTTGGTGCTGCAGATCCGGATCCCAAATAAAAAGGAGTGTCCAACTCTGGCAGCTGGATCAGCATCCATGGACACGAGGGGACACAGGACCAGCACAAAAAGGGGACACTGGAAGACACAAAATGTATTTTGTCTGACGAAGGAGAGGTGTGGGGGCTCCCAGGACACTGGACTGGGAAGAAGTGGAACATGATGACACAGAACAGGCAGTGGTACGGCTGGAATGAGAATCCATGGGACCATGGAGCCTCCCACTGGGATAACAACAGAGTCCCAGGTGGGAAAAGGGACACCAGAAGTTTGTTAGGAAGAGAGACTCGGTGCTCCTGCTGCAAAGGCGGAGAGTGAAACCAGGGAATGTGGCACAGGAATCTGTTGGATGAAATCCCAAAGGATGGGAATTGGGTCTTTGCTGGGTTTCCTTGACCCACTGGAAAACAGCTCCATGAGGAAAAACCACATCCCTGAGAGCAATGCAGTGAGTGGCACAGGAATTCTGATTCCTGCCTGCTGGGATATTCCAGCAGTGCTGGAAGGGGCAGAGCCCCGAGTGCTTTGTGGTGAGAACAAAGGAGAAATCCCGTTGTGTCCCAATCCAGCCCCAAGGAGTCCCTGCCCGGGGTCAGGCAGAGCCAACAGGCCACTTCAGTATTGATTCCTCTGGACTTTTGGCTATTTGGGCCAAGGAGCAGCGGGTCCGTGCAGGAGACCCTTCCTTCCCAACCCTAATCCTGCAGGACTCCCGCAGCTGGCCGGCTGGACGGGGGATAACGAGGAGCTGGAGGTGGGACGGGGCGTTAGATGCTCCGGGACACCCCCGAGCGCCGGGAACCAAAAGGCTGTCCCGGAGCGACAATTCCAGCGACCACGGGGGGAAACGGAGCCGGGAGCGACAGCGGGACGAGCCACAGGCGGGGAGGGAGCGCCAGGACCGGGAAAGGGCTCGGGAGAGCAGCGGGAGCGAGGCGTCCCCGGGTAGGGATGGGAACTCCCGGGAGAGCCGCGCTCCCGGGGCTCTCCCCGCCGGCCCCGCGCCCGGGGGATCCCCGAGCATCCCCCACCCACCGCGAGCCTCCCCGGCCCCCCCGAGCATCCCCGGGGTCACCACGAGCATCCTCGCCCTCCCCGAGCATCCCGGGACGCCCCCGGGCCTCCCCCGTCCCCCGGGGACCCCCGAGCCCCAGGAGCGCCCCCGGAGCCCCGGAGCATCCCCGCCCGCGCCGCCCCGCCCGCACAGGCCGCGGCCCCGCACGGCCCTGCCCGCCTCGCCCCGCTCCGCCCGGCGCCATCCCCCGCTGCTGCCGCCACTCCCCCTCCTCCCGCCACCCCCGCGGCCTCCCCGCTTCCCCCCGGGGGGTCCCGGCCCGGCCCCGCGGGCCCCGCACCGACCTCCGCACCGCGACTGCCGCCGCCGGGCCGCCCTCGGGACTACAGCTCCCGCCGGCCCCCGCGCGCGCTTCCGGCGCCGCGCGCACCTCACTTCCGGACCCCCGCCCCGGAAGTTGGGCCGCCCGCGCGCTCCCTGCGCCCGGCGGGAACGCGGGAAGCCGCGCGTGCGCGCTGGGCGGGGCGTGCCGCCATGGCAACGGACGGGCCAATGGGCGGAGCGGGGCGTTCCCATGGCAACGGTGCGGCCAATGGGCGGCGCGACCGGAGGGGGCGGCGCAGCCCGGGCCCGATC